GCAGAAGGATTGCTTGAGCCCAGGAGTTTGAGGTTGCTGTGAGCTAGGCTGACGCCACGGCACTCACTCTAGCCAGGGCAACAAAGCGAGACTCTGCCTCAAAAAAAAAAAAAAAAAAGAATTATTCAGAATCCAAAATTCTGACACGAACTGAAGATGGCAGTTTGCCCATGTATTTACTAAGATTTAGTTCAACAATATTTCTTGGAATGATTAAAAATTACTAACTATTTAAACTGCTGCATTTTTTCACTTTTTCTAAATATAAAACTTATTAAAGTTGAATGCTTTTTTAAACTACCCAACCTACCCCCGAAGGACTCTGCCATTGTTGTTACAGAGGCTATGATTGTAAAATCAATAAAATCCTACAGCAGAGGATGGGAAGATGGTAAAACATTTGTCTTGTTGATAATGCAAGTCACATGAAAACAACATGTGAGGTTCAAAGTGAATAAATATCTATATATTACTATTACAGGAGGTACATTCCATAGCCTAAACTTACTTCTTTAATGACATTACTTGGTTGGATAACCTCCAAAAGCTCAGCTGAAGGTCAAAAGCAGAGATAAAAGATGTAAAAGCTACTTATATGATAGCTGTTATACTTAAAAAGAAAAAAAGAAATGTGGTCTGTGTTTGGAAAGATGTTTATATTCTAGAAAATGTCATTTATTAAGTAATGTATTATAAAAACAGGATGAGAAGTCAGATTCTATCTTTGCAATATACAATTTTTGGAAGTCTTAGAAATGATTTTGAGACACAAAGAGAAAAGGGAGAGAGATAGAGAAGCACTGGATAAATGAAACAAAAATGATAGCAACTGTTTATAAACTGAAATTTATTAAATAAAGCTCTATAAAATTAGAATGAATAATCAATGACTTGAGTTATGAAAATTTTTCTTTTTTCCACCCTCCTAAATCTACTTTCCTGAAAATGAGGCTAGTGTTCCATATCTGCTCGATGAGGCAGAAGAGAGAATGTTGATAGTTTTCTGTAGTCAATTCTTTGACTACTTCCCATATGTGAGCAGAATTAATAGAAGGATGCTAAATGCCCTAACTTTAAGCCAAGAATAAAAAGATCTGGGTTGGGCACAATGGCTCATGCCTGTAATCCTGGCACTCTGGGAGACCAAGGCGGGAGGATTGCTTGAGGTCAGGAGTTCAAGACCAGCCTGAGCAAGAGCAAGAGCGAGATCTTGTCTCTACTAAAAATAGAAAAACTAGCCGGGTATGGTGGTGTGCGCCTGTAATTCCAGCTACTCAGGAGGGTGAAGCAGGAGAATTGCTTGAGCCCAGGAGTTTGAGGTTGCTGTGAGCTAGGCTGATGCTGCAGCACTCTAGCCTAGGTGACAGAGCAAGACTCCATCTCAAAAAACAATTGAAATTATTGCATAAGCTATAGATGTTTATTAATATATAAAACATGTTAATTTTACTACATGTAAATAAGATATATGCAGTTTCTGTTTCTCAACAGAATGAGAAGTTTTAGGTGAAGTGTCAAGATACGTTAGATATCAAACATTAACCACATGAGGCCTGAGAGACTGTCATGAGGAAATTTTAAAATAGCTGTCTCAAAATCTATTACAAAGTCATCCACAGGGTAGATATGGATTGTGAAGGATATGTGAAGAGGATCTCTTTGGGAAAGTTTGGGTGTGAGTCTTTCCCCCTTTGCTCCAAGCCTAGAGAAGGGGGCTTCAGAGGGACCACTGGAGCGTTCAATATGATCAGGGGTCACTGTGCTCTGGTATCTGACACATGAGAGGCATCAGCTATCAGCTGAGGTACTAGAACTGACAGCCTACATATTCCTACCCATGAGAAGGGCAAAATATGCAGGAGTGTTTCTGTGGAGCAAAGGTAGGTCAAGTGGGAAGAAAAAACATCCTAGAATCATTTGAAACCCTGCCCAAGAGGGTGAAGACATTCCAACAGAGAATGTGGACATACTCATTTCTAAACTGAGATTGTACGTACGATATAAATTGACTGCAGGACTTTTTATTACCTTAGAAGGATAGATTAAAAAAGCCATGGGCTGCCTGAGTTTGCATCCTATATCAGAGGAACTCCTAATTAAATTTTAAAAGGTCTATGGAAGGCAAAAACATTTGATTTTATGATTTTATCATCCCAAGAGTTTAAGCATGGCTACATACTTAAATTTAAAAAGTGATCATAGTCTGTTAAAAAATACATTGAAAGAACATTATATACATATTTAAAGTTTTCCCATTCTCTCAACCCTGAAAATGCTTTACTTCCTGTGACTTCAGTGTTCACCATATTTGAAGTAAACATGTCCTCAAAGAAGACACGTTACTAAAGAAAAGCCCAAATCGGCTCCGTTCCAGAGAATTTCTGTTTGCTCACCTTTGGACAAGTGATTTCAGTCTGCTGGATCATGATGAGAGCTGAAGCGATGAGTGCCCCTTGCCTCACGTAGTTCACAGGGTCATTTGTCATGGGTTCTAGCAAATTAATAGCTTCCTGAAAGAATTAAAAAAAACTTTAAATAAGGTTGATATGGCTGGATTTTCAAATTACAATCATGTGCCTCATAATGACGTTTTGGTTGACAACAGACCGCATATATGCGGGTGGTCCCATAAGGTTATAATGGAGCTGGAAAATCCCTATCACCTAATAATGTCATCATTCTTTAAATTTTTTTAAATCCTTTTTGCTGTCACCTATCTGTCCTCTAAAAATGCTTAGTAATGTCTTGATGATCCGGACCCTGTGTAGGCCTAGGCTAATGTGTTTGTGTCTTAGTTTTTAACAAAAAA